ATGTTTCTTTCTCTTTTGGCGAAGCACATGAACGACGACATGCTAGCGAAAGTGCGGGACCAGTGGGATTATTTCATGGTGATTTTGGCTCAGAACACATTTGCCAAACGACTAAGTGACGTGGGTCAATGGGAAATAAGCACGCAAGGAAGCATTTTCCAGTGTAACGACTTCGAGTGGAGCTGTCCCTGCCTATTTTATTGCACCTACCATCTACCTTGCCAGCATCTGATGTATATCGCCGCGCAAAAACACCAGTTTGAAAAAATGCCGGCTTCACGTATTCGGCCACGTTGGAGCATGACAGAAATGGCGAAGCTTGATGAAGCCTTCAGCCGTGGGATAGCGTCGTTGCAGTCAGTTCAAGACAAGCTGAAAGATACACCCGAGTCATCCTCGCACAGCGACTTTACTCAATGCTCAGCAACACACAAAGCAACACACGGCGCTGAAGCAAAAAAGGAGTCTCTTGAAGCAGCACAAGTGGAGCAAGAGTCTCAAGTTTGGGAGGAGGAGAACCAGTCCCGCTGGAAAAAAACCTCGACACTTCTCGCCTGTCAAAACGCGTGATTTACGTAAAAATGCGGCGTCGTGAGCGTGCGAATGTTGTCGTTCTGTTTTCTGAAGAAAAATACTGCTACGCCAAAGCTGTATTTGAACCTGTGCTGGATTATCTATCTCAACTATCTATCTCAACTATCTAGCCCAAAATTCTACATGGCACTACAGTCATGGCGGGAAATAGTACGCAGGGGTATGCGAGAAAGGGACACCACGTCATCGCAGAACACCACGTCATCGCAGAAAATGGCGGATTCCGATTCAGAGTTGGGCCACGACAGCGACGATTCAGCAAGTGAAAGTGCATCTGAAAGTGCATCTGAAATTACCCCCGCCGATCTAATGGAGTCAATGAAGTTGATTCGACAGCTTGAAGAAGAAAAGAACGGAGAGTTTTCTTTTGAACCTGCGGCTGTACACACACCATCGTCTAGAGTCACAGCAGAATGTATGCTGAATCACAATGAAAGACCTAATTCGGGTCTTACAACGACGGCGCAGACACTGACACAGGCTTGGCGGCAAACAGTGGAGTCGCCTCCAGCCAAATGTGAGCCATCTAAAACTGTGGAGCTCCGAACAAAGCGAGTGGTCCATACAAGAGACGCCAAGCTCTCAAAGCAAAAGGCGCGGAAGCCAGGCCAGATAGACGTGCTAAGGTTTCCCCAATCTAAGCCTAGACACAACGAGAGAAAAAAAAAGAAGCAAGTTCGCTTGGCGGCATCCTCGAAGCCACAGAAACTGGCAGCCATTGAACTTCCCCGACAAGCGCGTGTTATGTCTATCTCGACTACTGGAGCGGGCTCCAAATACTAAGGACAGATATCACGTTAGCGAGCTGATGGCAAACTATCCAGTCATCATGGACGACGACTTCATGGGAGCGCGTTCTGCGCGCTGTCAGCGTTCGTATGTATGCGCCGATGACTACGACTACAACTTCGTCATTCCTAAGCACCTAGTGAATAAGCTGGACGCAGTGGTCGAAGCGGAGAAGATGAAACGAAAGAAATCCAGCTATTTCGGTAACGATTCGGAAGCCGATCACCCCGAAGGTACCACGAACGAGATCATCGCGTTCTTTCCTGGAGGCACTCCAAAGTTCACCAGGTTTGTTGTCTGTACTGCTGTGTTGCTCATTGTGTTGCTTACTATGTTGCTTATAATGTTGCTTGTATTGGATACATGATGCAAATTAAAATGTGAACTAGTGGCGCTGTCTACCGCATGAAGGCGTTCTACGAGATCCGTCGGAAGTGCGAAGCTTGGCTGGCAGATATGGATTGGGTTCTCTCGACAAAGTGGGAAAAAAACCTGTCAACCCCAGAACTGTTTGATGAAGAGACGGACACGGACGGGATGCTACCTAGTGAGTCTGGTGAAAAACACAAAGAATTTGCAGAAGATGTCGCGAGAATTCTTGGCAAAGCATGCCTTGGGTCCATGTTTCGGTTGTCGAGTGGCGATGCCACTGTCAAGGTGGACCATTTGGTCGGCATGTTGGCAAGAGAACGGATGCTGAGTGATATTATTATCGACTTCAGCCTCCGCTGTATCTGCAACGCAGTTGGTGAATGTTTTGCTATTGACTCCTACGCTCCGACGATGGGTTGCCCAATAACTCCAGTAGGGCGCATTTCGATGTACCATTACGCTGTTATGCCCGTTCACTTGAACAACAACCACTGGGGAATAATCATGGTGCGCATGAACTACCGTCAAGATCCACCCACCTTCACCCCCTACTGCTATGAGCCTTTGTGCAACGGCTCGTATCGGGCGGCGATGGAAGATACTTACGAAGTTACTGTGGCACCGTTTCTGCGAAACTGGCATAATTCCTCTATGCGGCTCACCGAGTCACCGCTAGAATCAAGCGCAGTATGGCTTGACGCTCCAAAACAACCAGACGGAACGTCGTGCGGTGTGTTGTGCATTGCTCAGGCGTATGCGATGCTGAGAGATAGCTTCAGCTTTTCCAGAACTGCTGTCACACGTGATGATGTTGCTGCCATGAGACTCAGAATACTTTGGATGATTCTTTCGCAGCCTGAAGTGACAACTCGATCCAACAAGCTCGATCGAATAGTGAATGCTACGGATAAAGCTCTGCTTGCAACACTAATGAAATAGAATAAAGCTGTTTGGTTTTGCATCACACCGAATAGATTAACGTGCTTCACTTTTAACGCTGACTCACTAGTGCCTATCAAGCATTATATTGCAGCACTCCTCCAGCATCAAACTGTATGACATCACGTAGCCTCTGTCCAAAGCGACGGCCCCAACTGCAACTGCTAGGCGTGTTGCATCACCTTTCTCTTCGGCGAGCATTGAGGCGAGCTCATCCCGAGCTTGTATTAGCTTCTCCGAGTGTTAAGTCAGCATCTGCAACTTCTCTTCCATGCGTTGAATTTGCCGGAGTTTAGAGCGTAGTAGCTCTTTGCACAACCTCGAATTGTGAGCTCGAGAGTAGCTATGGCGTGTGGCATGGAGGCGCTAGGGGCGTTAGATCTTCACTAGCGGTGCTGGTACAAGCGCCTGCATCTGTGTTGTCTTGATTCATTTATCTCTCAAGTCTCTTTGTTTCGATCGAATCGTCGCAGAATGTGCCTTCTTCTATCACAAATTTTGTCAAAGTGGAATCGTAAGTTTCGAGGTTTCTGAAATATATCACGAATAGATTACGATCGACCCTTTAGAGTTGCTTCTTGTGGCACTCGTTGTGGTGCTACAAGCCCATTGTGTTGCAGCAAGAGCTGTCGTGACGTTGTAGTTGTGTTGTAGGAACGCCATTCCACCCAGGCAGGTGATTCCTTTTCCGTACGCGCTAGCGATGAATCTGATCAAGATGTGCTACTTTAACTTCAAGGTGATGATGTCGCGCAAGCTTAAAGGCAAGAAGTACACGCTCAACACTGATGGCTGGACGGACACCAACGGCAAACGCGTAATCAGCTACGTGCTGCAATGTGAGGTGGAGCAATACATTTCGGAGTTAGTTTATGAAGCACTTCCCACGATGCTGCCTTTATGGCTGCTGTTGTCAAACGTGTAATCGAATCCGTGGGATCTACGACTATTGCTGTCGCTGTAACCGACAATACAGCGACCAAGAGGCTGATGTGGTCAACGCTACAGAAGAAGTACCCGTACAGTTTTTTCACGGCGTCATTTCTCACGTGATCCATCTCGCTGTGAAGGACAGGGTTACTAAAGTTAAGTGATTAGGAAAGCTGCAGGCCACTGCCGCAAGATGGTAAAGTTATTTAAGAAGCACCAGCTGCTGTGGGTTGTACTGCGTCGAGTGCAAAAAGATCAAAGGCAAGAATGCCTCGTGATGCCAGCGGATGCAAGATGGGGCTCGATTGAAAAATGTCTCATGTCTGTTCTTAAATCAGAAAACCTGCTTCTTTCGATGGTCATGGTGCTAATTTCTCAAGTAAAATTTTAAGGAGCAGAAAGCGAAACGCTGTGTGGCATACGACGTGGTTACTGCCGGTGACGTTTTTTTTCAGCTGAAAAAGGCGATCAATGAGCAGAGCGTGCTGTCTGCAGTACAGCAGGTTCTCGGACGCGGAGCCTACACCATATCGAATATCTAAAGGATGTTCATAGAGCTTTCGCAGACGTACGGGGCGATGGAGATGCCTATTTGGGAGCTAGGGATTATCAGCGGCATTTTGGTAGGTCAGTTTGGCTTCATTTACAGCGACGCTCATGCTGTGTCGTATCTGCTCGACCCCGTTACGGCGGGGGGGGGGGGATGGATGACGACACCAAGACCAGCGTCATAGACTTCGTGGTCAACTGGAACGGACCAGAACACGAGAACGCGGCGAGCGTGGAGTTGATGAGGTCTTTCAAAACGAAACTCGAGAGCTTAAGCTGCTGAAGAACAAGCGCGTTACTATAACAGAGTATTGGGGTAGTCGGAGCAGATTTCCCTTGCATCGAAATGTGGCGATGCGAGTTTTCGCTGTGTCTTGCTTCAGAGTAGCTGTAGAACGCAGCTTTTCGACACATAAGCTCATCCATTCCTTTGTGCGCAATCGTCTCAAGAAAGGGCGCGTTGAAAAGCTGTTTTTTATATTCTTCAACGCAAAGAATCTTGACACCGAGAATATTGCTGTGTTTGACGACTTAGAGATCTTGCTGAATCCATCTCTGACGAAGAGACCAACTTAGGCTTACACGTTAGCGCACGTGTATGAGGTAGCGCCAGATGCGTTTCACTTAGATTAGCTGTACTTTCGTCTAGAGGTAAAGAATTTACTTTAAAAAAGATAAGCAAAGTCCAATTATCCGGTAAAATTGAGAGCTGTTTATTTATTTCTTTTTTTCGGTTTTCCCCTTAATATAATATTCTAAATAAAAGGCATTTGCCAACGAATGGTTGACAGAATCCTACAATTCTAATTGGCTGAAGATATTGACTTTCAACCAATAAATGCCCTAAATGCGTGCAGATGCCAAATGTAACCAGTGGTGTATCTCACACCAACGTGGAAAATCTCCTTCGTATCCAAGTGGCTACATGTATCAGCCCAGGGCCTGCTATTTGTAAAAGGCTGCGTCGCCTTCTCAGCGTTAGCCTGCGGTCTCGGGAGGACCTTCAAGTACACAGCTATAAGACGTTTTGCGTGATCAGTATCAACTTGGACTTGGTCGTAAACTCGCCTAAAGTCGTGCAGCACAGGCCCGTCGGTCGGAAGCGTACGGTATTCCACCACCCCAGTAAATTTACTCCGCATCTTGAATAACTGGTACTTCTGAATGGATTTCATTTTCTTGTACATGTCCTTGACAATAAACTTGTAGTCACGGAAGGCGCTCTCGTCCAAAACGCATATGCACTCATTTGAGTGGACGACGCCTCCACAGATTTCGTTTTCTGGTCCATTGCCCAGCAGTCCTGTCGCTAGACGTGTCATTTCATCTGCCCCAATCCTCGATCGCAAGCGCTTTTAGTGCGCAGAAGGCGTAGCGACAAACTGGTCCTACCAACGGCAGATAGTACACGAAACGATTTCGCTTCCCAGTTCCACGACGTCACGCAAGTACTCCAGCATCCTTACGACTACAAGCGCTGTCGAGATGCTCGTTTTCTTTTTCACAAAAGTCATAGTCTCAACGGAAGTCACAAACCGCTCGATCTTGTCTCCTTTCCTATAAGCGTTTCTTCCTGCACGAGCCTGAATTAACTCTTGAGCACGTGAATCGAACAGCGACACCGAGCGACAATTTCTTGCTGATAACCTGATTCCACCCACCCTCTTCGCCCTTTGACAGAGATGGAGACGTTGTCTTATACTCGATGTCGCTTGTAAAAACAGCATCATCCTCCGAGTCGCTTGCAATGTCGGAGCCTGGCAGATGCGAGCTTAACAACTGGAGTGTGTGAGTGGCTGGGAGGCTACGAAGCACAAAAGTCGCTTTTTCTCGGCTTTCCCTTTAAGTGCAATATCATTGACGGAAATTTCAATCGACATTTTTGGAAAATTTCAAAATGGTGGATAAGGATCATTTTGTCTTGTGCTAACTCATATTTAAAGCCCGCCAATTGCCAAAATTAAATCGAGCTTCGATACATTGGAAAAAGCTTTATGCGGCTCTAACGAGTGTGACCCAGCTCTGAGTGCCGTCTATTACCCTTCGAGAAGCGATATAACACCACACAGTACTCAGACGAGCAATCTAAGCCAGGTCAGGTCTCGGTGTAGGCCAGAGTTGATGCCAAGTTTATATGAGATTGCCGCCAGATTTAGTTGACAATCAACTTTGCTATTGAAGTGCTACGTGCTGACGTCATCTGTCCTCTAGCACCTATATGACTCTAATTCAAGATAACATTGTGCTAACACTCGACGTCGACAGCACCAGTCAACAGCAGAAAATGGAAAGTAAATCATGCTATTATATTTTCGCTCCTAAGCCAAGTATTATACATTGCAATACAGTTCTTCAAGTACTAATAAATTTATGCCAGTTATTGCAATAGATTCATTAGCCTCAATATTATTTATCCTTTAACTTTGTATGCCAGAAAATATTACATCATATTTTAGGTACGTATAAATTACTGGAAGCAAGAAGGAGCAATAATAAGCTATTCTGTACAAAAATACAATAGCTATTTTATTGAAATTATTTCAACCTCTGGTCAACAGTAGCTGCTCCTTGGTACGGTTCAGTATTGCGACTGCGTGGGTGTTTGTTCGCCACAATAGCCTGTCACGCCTCATTTAAAAAGGTCTAGCGCACAAAGTGTGCAATAAGGAGTGAGCGCAAATAAAAATTCCAAGTAATTCAGTAAAATAGCTTTGTTCATTGAAGGGGCAACGAAGATAACGTTGCATTTTGCAGTACTTCCACATACGTATCGACCGATCTACTGCGACAGCCACAACACCAGCTTCAGCTGCCAATATGCTAAGTGCGGCGCTTCTTCGCTGGTGTCTTGCGAGGTGCCTTCTTTGCTGTAGCAGCGGGAGCCTTGCGCTTTGCGCCACCTCGCGGCTTCTTCTGGAACTTGCTAACATCCACGTCCTCCTCCTCTGGCTCGCTCTCGGCATCCGACGGGGGCGGCAAACCACTGCCATCGTCTTTCGCGACGGCTGTCTTCCCTCGTGCTTTCTTAATGGTGGTTGACCCAAGTACCGCTTCCACAACCGCTTGTGACTTGTGCGATGCCTTGTTGTACCTGCAATAGAAAACCAACGATGAGCATTCGACACGATAAAGACGGTCAGTGCATCATACATTCGCGTAAACGCCGTCTTGGCCTTAGTGTCCAGCTCCGAGTACGAGTGACGCTTGACGCCAGGGAACTTGAAGCTCTCCATGGACTCCGTCAGGTCTTCTCGGGAGATCTCGCACTCGTCCAGCAGCTCAATCACCTCATGAATATTCTGAACATATGTGAGGTTAGCCAGAAGATACATCAAGTAGCATTCAAGAAACGTACATCTTCTCCTGACAGCAGCTTCTTCAGCAAAATCTCCTTCATATACGGCACGTAATCAAGACGAATGACTGCAGCAGATACAAATTAGTACCTGCACCACACCCAAGATTAAAAATGTACAGCGCACGAACCTTCTCGCGACCCGGAGGCGTGTGCTCGCATTCGGACAGAGAGTTCACTAAGCAGCCTCTTCGACTTGGACGCCGACGAGTTCTTTCCCAGCCACCTACACAATAACCAGTAAGATTAAACTTCATACTGAAATAAGTTAATACCAACGTACTTGGAAAACTCCGGGTGGCCGATGAACCCAGCCGAGTACACGCAGGCACCGACGTTCATAGCTGCCTGTTTCGTGAGCAGATCCCATCGCTGCTCCACTCGCACATAGGTATTCAGCAAGTCGCTCTCCGAGATGAACTCCGACGCGTGCATGGCCGCTTCCAAGTTCTCGTCCGACGATCTCCTATTGTTCATGATACTCTGGATATAGTTCTCCTGCACCATCAGCGGCATCAGGTCGTAGTCCACAAAGTACGCCTCGTTCCTAGCATCAAACGAAAGTTCGCGCTGGAAGATCTGCTGTGTCGCACTGAACGGGTTCAGCCGCAAACTCTCATCCTTGTTGTGCTGCGAAGAAGGGTTCACCATATCCGCGTACGTGATCTTGGTGGTAGTAAGACGCCACCTCTGCATCTGAGTGAGCAACTGTCGAATGTCATTGCCACATCGATCGGCCGCTTCTTCAACGGCATTCTTCTCCATGTGTAGACCTTCGTTCAGCCCAATCTCCATAAGTCGCTTGCCAATCTGAACCTTGGTGGGACGACGCATACGCAGATCAAATGAGTGGTTCGCCAGAGAGCGCACCTTTTGACTCTGGCGGTCATTGCAGATACAAATGATAGGCGTCTTCGACTTCTTGAGAAGCTGAATCAACTCCGCCGTACCGCCACGATCACCGCCTGACATGCCGTCGACCTCGTCCATGATAATCACACGACGAGCGAGGTGCATCTTCTCTTTAAATTCTCCACTAGCAGCGCCGAACTGAAGCGCCTGCGTTCCCAGTACGTCCTTAAGTCCGGTCTGCAGCATTTTCTTACTGCGTGTGTCACTCGCGTTCAGCTCGGTGCACGCGAATCCGCACTCGCGAGCAACCAGGTTCGCGATCGTCGTCTTGCCGATACCTGGAGGTCCCGACAGCAGCACCGTCTTCGCGCCACGGTTCTCAGACAGCTTCGTCGAGAACGGGACTTTCTTGGTTCCTTTCACGTGCATGGCCTCCCAGTCTAGAAGCCACGTCTTCAACTTCTTGCCCAGTTCGATGTTGCCAATCATGTGGTTTAAAGTCTGCGGCTTGTACTTGTCAGTCCACAGCTCGTCGTTGATCGATCTAAGGTGCAAAATAACAGTGACAATCAGTTCATTAACCTGTCAAATTCATAGCAGATTTAAAGGGGTTGAGTAACGTACGTGCTGAGCTTCTGGTTTCCTTTCGAGGAGGTTTTCAGTGCACCAGTTTCGGCCTTGATCTTCGCCTTCTCAGCTGCCAAGTCCTGAGTCTGTTGAGCTGTTGCAGCCTCGGTGATGAGATTGTAGAACTCGTTCTGCGTCAAGATACGGACGTTCTTCGCCACGGCTTCCTTGTATTTAGAGCCATCCGTCACATTGCCACCCTGCTCCAGCGTAGATCCGATAACCAAATACTTTGTACTACGCGTAATGCTGATGGCGATAGACCCGCCACAGCTTTTAACAAGATGCACCGCATCCTCGCGCGACAGACTTTCCAGCACACCGGAGAACGCGAATGTCTTACCATCTAAACACCCGGAACACGGCGCTGGCACCTTCTTCAACGCTCCTTCCTGTTTTACAGTGGTTTGCTCTGAGTCGTCAGTTGCAGTACGCTTCGAGGACGACGTTGCAGGCTGCTTGCTCTCTATCTTCACCTCTTTCTTAGCTTCAGGCTTCACTTCCGGCATCTCCTCGTCCTCGTCACTATCAGCTTTGACCGCACGACGTAGCCGCTTCAGTGGCTCCTTCTTGGGCGTCACTTCTTTAACTTCATTATCGCTTGGTTGCATTTCAAAATCCGAGTCGGAGTCTACGCGCTGTGCCTTCTTCTGTGCTGGAGCTTTGCGCTTACTACTACCGTTTTTCTCGTCCTCATCACTGTCGTCCAGCACTACCACATTCTGTTTAGTAGTGCGACGACCTGTAGGACGCGACGGAGGTGTTGGTTCTGGCTCTGATCGCTTGGCTGCTGTAAGAAATACCAATTGATGGTTATGACACATTACAAAGAAAGAGAAGACTGTAGCTGCGTACGCTTGGCTGGCGTTGCCAATTTCTTCTTGGTGCTGCTGCTGCCGTTGCTTCCGCCCGGAGCCTTCTTCTGGAAGAACGAGCGGATGTCCATTGTCGCCGTCACGAGCGCCAGTGAGGTGTGGATCTTGCGTCCGTGCTGCTTGTGGCTTTTTTCGCGCCAATTCTCTTCTAAAGCATTTGGTGTGGTGCACATGAAATGAGATCCGCATTTCGTCAGTCACTGCAGTGGCACCTTTGCCTACACCATGGAGCTCTCCCCGACGGCGCTCAAGTACGCGAGTTTATGTATACTGTGCGTGCAGAACAGCCTGCTGGCTATCCTCATGCGGCTCTCTCGGGTCGGCAACTTCCCACGCTTCAACCCAGCCACCGCAGTGTTCGTCGGCGAGGGGCTTAAGCTGGCCACGTGCTTCGCTGTGCTCTTCTATGTAAGTCTCACGCTGCGCCGTCATGATGCATTGTATGCAGCTCAATGTGACCGACTGACTGTCTATTGCAGGAGTTCAACTTGCTCAAGGATCCGCAGCGACGGAAGCGCATGAGTGAGGCCTTCCGCAACATCACCAACACGAGCGAATTGCTGCGTGTGAGCGTGCCTGCAATGCTCTACGTAGTGCAGAACAATCTACAGTACGTGGCAGTGTCCAACTTGGACGCACCTACTTTTCAAGTCATGTATCAGCTCAAGATCCTCACCACCGCCATCTTCTCCGTTGTGATGCTGCGGAAAACTGTGCTGGTCACGCAGTGGGGCGCCATTGTCACGCTCATGATGGGTGTTGCATTAGTTCAATTAGGTGACAATGCATCGAGTGCGACAGCAAAGGCAGACGCTGCACAGAGCACCACTAAGGGTCTCTTAGCTGTGGTAGCAGCCTGTGTATGCTCTGGGTTCGCAGGCGTCTACTTTGAGAAGATTCTTAAAGGTACTGGCTCAACGACCACACTATGGGAGCGTAACGTTCAGATGTGCTTCCTCGGATTGGCGCTGTCTGGTGGTGGTCTGATGTACAATGACTTTGAGTCGATCATGAGCCATGGCTTTTTCTACGGCTACCGTCCTGTAGTATGGGCAGCAATCGCCATGAGCGCATTCGGCGGTCTCCTAACGGCGGTCGTCGTCAAGTACGCCGATAATATTTTGAAGGCCTTCGCGACTTCTATCGCTGTGGTGCTTTCCGTCATCATGTCGGTGTTTGTGTTTGACAAGGTGCCGACGGGTCAGTTCGTGGTCGGGGCCATTCTCGTTAACGGCTCGGTGTACGCGTACGGCAGGGCTCCTGAGTGGCACAAAAACCATCTCGAACCTATATTACCTCTTGCTGGTGTCCAAGTGTCCAAGAAGACCAAGCACATCGCTTAGAAAAATGGCTTAGAAACTGGCGAAAAACTGCGTCATGCGTTTATTTTGTAGCTATACAATACTACTACAACTCAATACAAATGATATCACGAACTGGCGTGTTCAGTCAGTGTTCTGTCCTTCAGTAGCAAACGAAACGTCATTAATGAAGCCATTACCTCTCTTCGTTGCCGTCGTGCTGGCACAGCGCTGCGCGGGGCAGAATGGGGTACGAGAAGTGGTTATCGGCCATGCAGACGCTCGGGTAATCCAAGTCAGGGACCACCTTCATGGACAAGAGCCACAATACGGAACTCAGTGGGGCAAGGTACTACTGGGAACTAAAGCTATCTCGTCTCAAACTTACGTGTCTCGTTCATTAAGATCCAGTCGGGACTCGTTGAGCAGCAGGCAAGCAAGAATCCTATCGTAAGCAACGTTAAGTTTTGGAAACATGCCGCAACGTAGAAGTAGATCCTAACATCTACGTAGGACGCTGACCTGGGAGCAAAGAGCTTCACGACCGAATCGTGGCCACGTCGATGGATGAAGCTTTTGGACGGGACCTGGCTGCATGAATTCTGGGTGCAATGCGAGTGTGATCCTGTCTTTAAGGCGGGTACAACGCACAATCTCAGTGCGATGCAAGCAGTGCGTATCAATTCATCCCTACTGTTTTATCAACAAAATAACAAATTCTTATATTTCAGTTTGTAGCATTCGTGTCGATCGGGTACGCCGTTGTCGCAATGTGGCTCGGTTCCATGAAGCTCACGCGTTGGCAACGACGCAGTATCCTCGTCACATACACAGCAGCAGGACTCGTCCAATCTGTTTTTCTAGCGCACGCCTTCAGCTTCATGGACATCTACTATGCGTATCCGTTGACGCTAGTGCTGGTAGTCGTCTTTTTCGTAGCGTTCAACCTCACCAACGCGTTACTTGTGCTAGAGTACGAGGACTCGGAACCTCTAGCCGAAGCTCAAGTGCAGCACATCATCGAGGCGTCAGCAACTCGTGTGGTCACAGCACAACGCGCGGCCTGCTTTTAGACCTGCACCGTGATATCTGCAAAGCTAATACAATCTTCATTCATCGTCCATCGAGAACGATAACAGTTTCTTGTTGCTGAGTGTTGGTTGATCTGCACGTTTGCGCTTCTTCTTCTTGGTGCCGTTGGACGCTGTGGCTTGCC